CCGTGGTCAGCTCTCTCTGGATGCCCTGCTTCTTGAGCCAGGCCGTCATTTCAGCTCCAAGGAACTCACCACCCCGGTCTGTCCTAATCCGCTTCACTACACACTCCGCCTGCTTCTCCACGAATGGCAGCCAATCGTCCCGTATCGTGGAGGCGGCGTGGTCCTTCTGCTTCAGCGGATACGCCCACATCAGCCTGCTCCAGTCATCCACAATTGTAAGAAAATACCGCTCCCCCTTGTGCCCTTGCACCGGCAGCGGCCCCACCAAGTCCATGTGGACCAGCTCCAAAGGCTTCTTGCTCCTGCCAGCCACACTATGGAAAGGGAAACGGGTGAACTTTGAAAGCAAACAGATTTCACAGTTGTCATCGGGTGGCTGTCCGTTCAGCTTCAGACCCTTAACGGCTCCATCTTTCTCCAGCTGCTTCAGCAAAGGCATTGCCACATGCCCTAAGCGCCGGTGTGCCGTTGCCCAATCTGTCTCCCCAGATCTGGCCGACACTTTCACACCAACCCCTCCAACGGCATTGCACTCCCCCTGGGATGCAGACCCCTCTCCAGCCTGCCCCCCACCATGCCACGCCAGGGCCGGCAGCTGCCACATAGATCTGTACACGTCCTTGCTCTCGTGCAGATCCCAAAGCACCCGATTGCCCAGCTTCCCCTTATAAGTGCGTGCCCCATCCGTGTTGGTGTTCACCCCAGCCTTGCCAAGCTTACGGAGGGAGATAAGGTTGGCCTTCAGGTCGGGGACGAAGAGAACGTCGTGCAGCACCACCGGCTTGCCATCCGCTCCCTTAAACGCAGCTCGTCCCGCACCAGCCACCTTCAACATGTGTCCAGAGGCGGAGCACACTTCATTGATCGGTGCAGCTCGTACTTCGTCCAGCAGGTCCTTGCGCGGCGTCATCGTCCAAGCAGCGCCTGTGTCCAACACCCAATAGTCTAGGGGGTGCAGCTCTGCTCCAACTTTGGCAGAGGCGTCTCCTTGCTCCCCCTTGTCTCCCACATGGAAAAATTGGCCCGCGGTGCGCTCCTTCTTCTTCTCCGCACCGCCGTTGCCCTTCGGGTTGTTGTCGGACGAATCAGCGACCATGTTGGCGCCGTTTTTCTGGTTCCTCCGCGCGCCGCCATCCTGGTGACGATTCTGGGGGGTCCATCCATCGGGTTTCTTATAGCACAAAAACCAGGGGTGCCCTTCCTTCTCACAATACCAGCAACTCCCTTTCATTTTGCCACCAGCACCCGACTTGCCCCCACGTCCAGATTTCGCACCGCGACCCCAACCGGTACCTCCTTGTTGGTCGTTGGAGTCGTCGTCTTTCTTTGCACCGCGTCCAGCACCACCAAAGCCACGTCCTCTGCCACGTCGGCTCCCTTGCATCCCGTAGCTGCTGCTGCCGTCGTCTCCACCCCTCAGTTGGCGGCGACGGAAGTCCTCCTCCAGAATCTTCGTCCGCACCCACTCGAGCGTCCACAAGCTCTGGTTCTGCGGCAGGCTCAATCCGCTCGTAAATTGAAGCCACGATTCTGGCAGCAGCGAGAGCATCTTCAAGCACTTGGTCTGCTCCGGGTAGGTGATTCCCGCGGTCGCCAACTTCGCGTAGAGGTCGCGCATCTTGTCCAGGACTGGTTGCACCGGCTCTCCCTCGCTCAGGCGCAACGCGGACAGCTCCCTCTCCAGCATCAACGTTGCGACAACGGAGGTCGGGGCGTGCAGCTCCTTCAACACGGTCCACGCCTTCGGACCGCATTCAACCTCCGGCAGCAGGTGCATGACGTGGTGACGCTGGTTCAGCTCCAAACTCTGCGACATCAGATAGTAGCCAGCCGAGGAGCGCTCGTCCCAATCTTCCTGCAGCGTGGGGTCACTCGGTCTAGGCTCCTCCCCAATCATTAGTTTCAGCAAACCGATCTGACGGAAATATAATTGCATTTTCCAGGCCCAATCATCATAGCCCTCACCATTGAACTTCTCGACGGTGAAATTCTTCAGCACCTCCTTGACAAGCGAGCCCTGGTTTGTTCGCGCTCCCCTTGGCGCTAAAAGACCAGAATCTTGGCTGCCGCTACGATCTTGGGCTGAAGATTCACCAGCTCCCGCCGAGGTGTTGCCCGCCATAGCTACCTATAACGAGGATCACTATAACGCAGCTCTGATACCAGCTTGTTGGTGTAAGGGCCTAATAAACTCAAGCTATTAGGACTTAATCAAACTTAAAACCTCTCCTCGGGGTCACCTCCAAGGGTCCCTGGGTGCCTGGTACAAGACCAGCCCCTATCCTCGGGTCCGAGTTTGTAGAGAGAGGGATCAAGAAGGACTTAGTCAAAACAGCAAGAGTACCTTGAACGTCGCGCAGCGTGCCGTGCAGACCGTCGATCGGATTAAGCTGAGAATTCGCTATATCGAAGCTCGCTCCAAGAGCTTTAAAATGAGCCAAGTTGCCTCGCGAAAAGTTCTGCCATTACTAAGTTATGGCTCGGACAGCGTTTGCCTAGCGTTGGAGTGCTAGCATACTAGCGTTGACTCGGGTAGCATTCCGCCGTCGAATAGCGCAGAAACAAAATTCCAGCGAGGAAGGAATTCGCTTGAATCAATTTGACTATATTCAGGTACAAACAGAGAAGGATTAAATAGTTCTAGCTAGCAAGGACCTTGGGAATCAACCTGGGAACAACCAGGGATGATCCCAAATAATTCCAAGCAACAGAACCAACCTGGCTGGACAAAATAGCAGGTGGTAGGTTGGTAAACAACCTCTGGTTCTGTTTTTCCAACCTGGGAAAACAACAACCAGGTTCAGGTTCTAAAAACAGAACCTGTTTTGTCTTTGCCCAACCAGCCAAATGCTGGTTCCGCTGGTTTCCCCTGGCCTTGTAGCATGCAGATACAGACAAACAACATCCAACCTTCACCTAAATTGTACCCCTATAGTGCCTTCCCTGCTACACTATAGTTAACCAAACAAAACAGTACAATTCCGAGTTGGATAGAACTGAATCTGCGCAATCAACTCAACCGAACTGCAAAGCTTCCATCTTGGGTTCCTTTGCGAGCTCGTCCTTCCTGCTTGCACTGTTCATAGCGCATACAATGTTGTGCCAAAGCGCACATTGCGCGAGTACCTGCAAATGCATCAAGCGAAAAATGCGAAAGCAAACAAACACACGAACACACCATTCACACGCAAATGCATTCGCACACGCATACTCGTACAAACAGACGGCAGGATGTCGTGCAATGTGCATTTGCACCCAACATCGATCACATGTGCGAATGACGTACGGGCAGCGAGCAGTAGTCCTACACCCCCAACTCTGAGCGTACCACTCATGCAGCTGCCGGGGCGAAAGGGTCTCGCGCAGGCACCGCTGCAGCTGCATCTGGCCACCGCCAGAGACTCCGCACTGACCAGCTCCACCACGACTGCTACTACGGCCGCCGCCACCTCTCCGAGACGCACAACGCTGAGCGTACCACGCATGAAGCTGCTGGGGTGTAAGGGTCTCGCGCGGACGCCGCTGCAGCTGGATCTCGCCACCGCCAGAAACTCCGCACTGAACAGCTCCACCGCTACTACAACTATGGTCGCCGCCACCACTCCCACTGCCGCCACTGCCGCCGCCACCATTCCCACCGCTACACCGAAGAGAAGGCATAGCGGGCAACGCAAGGAGGCTTGGGACCAGCAGGGCAGCACCGAGTGAAGGCAGGGCGACGAGAAGGCACTCGGGTAGCGCGAAGGGTAGGGCGAGGCAGCGCCCGGTCAGGGAAGGGTGGCGTGCGGCAGGAAAAGGCCGTGCGAGGGCGGCTGAGGCGGCGCGCGGGGCAGCCGCTGGCTGCGCGAGCGGTAGAGGCGGCGCGCGGGGCAGCAGAGGGCCGCGCGAGGGCGGCTGACGCGGCGCGCGGGGCAACTACAGGCCGAACGGGCGGCGGACGCGGCGCGCGAGGCAGCCGCGGGCTGCGCGAGGGCGGCAGCCGCGGCGCGCGTGGCTGCTGCGGGCTGCGCGAGCCGCCGATGCGGCGCGCGGGGCAGCAGCGGGCTGCGCAGGCGGCGTACGCGACGCGCGGGGTAGCAGCGGGCTGCGCAGGTGGCGGACGCGATGCGCGGGGTAGCAGCGGGCTATACAGGCGTCGGACGCGACGCACGGAGCAGCAGCGGGCTGCGCAGGCGGCGGACGCGACGCGCGGGGCAGTAGCGAGCTGCGCGCAGAGTTAGGGTTTGCGCGCGCGGTCAGCGCAGCGCAGGCAACGCAAGGCGCGCGCGGGCGGTGCAGCTCAGGCAAGGCAAGGCAAGGCTCAGGCAAGGCAAGGCAAGGAGCAGGCAAGGCAAGGCGCGCGCAGGCTGCACATACAGATCGCCACACGCTGCAGTCCATGGGTGAAGGCATCAACCCCCGCATCCTGAAGAGCAGCGTTGCTCACCAAGTTCGTGGAGAACGAGGGGAGGTGGAGACCAGACAGCTCACCAGACGGGACCGCCGGACACGGAAGCACAGTGGTGGACCGTGCAAGCACTGGGCCCCCAGAGGGGTCAGCCAGTGAGACAGGGACAGGTGCAGGGAGGGGTGTGACTGTGGTACTGTCGCGAAAGAAACAGCGCGAAGCACCAGAGTCAAGTGTAAAGGTGTGCAAGGCCTGAGCGGACGCAGTACCAGAGAGAGCAGACTCACTAGCACCTAGAGCTGTAGGTGATATACCGGGGTCAGGCGGCACACACAAGTAACAGTCACCCTTAGCACTAACAGTCAATGCATACATGGCAGCAAGAATAACATCATAGTCAAGATCAAAGATAGGTACACCACGCCTAAGCAGGTCTGCCCAGTTGGGGAACTCAGTAGCCTCAGGGAACTTGGCTCGCCAGGCGTCGTTAAGCCAAGCAAAGCAGCGAGACTTAGCGTGAAGACCATTGCATGGGCGACCAGCGCGGGGACCTGCGCGAATGATATAGGGGCAGCGACCAGCACCCCCAGACGCCCCACGCCCGGCATACCAGTCATGAAGCTGCACGAGGGGGCCTGGCGCTGTCGCTGCTGCTGCTGCTGCTGCTGCTGCTGGCCCTGGCCACCACTGCTGCCACCACCACTGGCTCCTCCCCCACTACCGCCGCTGCCACCGCCACTGCTCCCGGTACCACCGCCGCCTCCACCACCACTGCCACCACCCCGACCACCCCCACCTCCTCCACCTCCCCCGCCGCCTCCACCACCGCCCCCTCCACCGCCACCTGCACCTCCCCGCCAGCCCCTCTGCCCCTGGTGCTGCGGCGCTTCCCACTAGGAGCAGAAGCAGCCCCAACCTCCTCAGCACCAAGGAAGTCGACAGCAGCAGCAGCAGAGGCGTAGGAGGGGGCAAGGGGGGAGGGGGAGCACCCCTCAAAGAGGGGAGTGCGAGGAGTGCCACGAGCCGCACCCACAGCAAGGATGTTCTTCTCCGCTGCGAGGAGCTGTGTCTCGAAGTCGTCGACGGTGAGAGCGGTAGGGTCTAGAGCGAGAAAGTGGTCCCTGACTGAGCGAAGGGAGTCAGGGAGGCGGGTGACGAGGAAGTAGAGCGTAAAGTACATCGGAGGGGTGTTCTTTGCGAGCAACTCATCTGTAAGGGCGGAACAATATGAGTGTCACTAGCGCGCAGGTGAGCGATGAGGTCCTCAGCAGTGTGAAACGAGGACAGGTCGGGGAACAGGTAGGGTAGCATGAGACGGCCTAACGCTGCAGTGGCTGGGGAGGAGTAGCGCGCAACTACAGCGTCGTACAGTGCCTTCGCAGTCTTGTGCTGGCTAAAATGCGCGCGCTCAGTGATCGGCAGATGGTTGCGAATAGCGAGGCGCGCAGCAGCATCGCGAGTCTGCCACTGTGAGCGGTCGGAAGCAGGAGCATCGTCAGCAGGGCGAACGGCAGTGCCAGATGTTGGGTGCAAATGCACATTGCACGACATCCTGCCGTCTGTTTGTACGAGTATGCGTGTGCGAATGCATTTGCGTATGAATGGTGTGTTCGTGTGTTTGTTTGCTTTCGCATTTTTCGCTTGATGCATTTGCAGGTACTCGCGCAATGTGCGCTTCGGCACAACATTGTATGCGCTATGAACAGTGCAAGCAGAAAGGACGAGCTCGCAAAGGAACCCAAGATGGAAGCTTTGCAGTTCGGTTGAGTTGATTGTGCAGATTCAGTTCTATCCAACTCGGAATTGTACTGTTTTGTTTGGTTAACTATAGTGTAGCAGGGAAGGCACTATAGGGGTACAATTTAGGTGAAGGTTGGATGTTGTTTGTCTGTATCTGCATGCTACAAGGCCAGGGGAAACCAGCGGAACCAGCATTTGGCTGGTTGGGCAAAGACAAAACAGGTTCTGTTTTTAGAACCTGAACCTGGTTGTTGTTTTCCCAGGTTGGAAAAACAGAACCAGAGGTTGTTTACCAACCTACCACCTGCTATTTTGTCCAGCCAGGTTGGTTCTGTTGCTTGGAATTATTTGGGATCATCCCTGGTTGTTCCCAGGTTGATTCCCAAGGTCCTTGCTAGCTAGAACTATTTAATCCTTCTCTGTTTGTACCTGAACATAGTAAAATTGATTCAAGCGAATTCCTTCCTCGCTGGAGTTTCGTTTCTGCGCTATTCGACGGCGAAATGCTACCCGAGTCAACGCTAGTATGCTAGCACTCCAACGCTAGGCAAACGCTGTCCGAGCCATAACTTAGTAATGGCAGAACTTTTCGCGAGGCAACTTGGCTCATTTTAAAGCTCTTGGAGCGAGCTTCGATATAGCGAATTCTCAGCTTAATCCGACCGACGGTATGCACGGCACGCTGCGCGACGTTCAAGGTACTCTTGCTGTTTTGACTAAGTCCTTCTTGATCCCTCTCTCTACAAACTCGGACCCGAGGATAGGGGCTGGTCTTGTACCAGACACCCAGGGACCCTTGGAGGTGACCCCGAGGAGAGGTTTTAAGTTTGATTAAGTCCTAATAGCTTGAGTTTATTAGGCCCTTACACCAACAAGCTGGTATCAGAGCTGCGTTATAGTGATCCTCGTTATAGGTAGCTATGGCGGGCAACACCTCGGCGGGAGCTGGTGAATCTTCAGCCCAAGATCGTAGTGGCAGCCAAGATTCTGGTCTTTCAGCGCCAAGGGGAGCGCGAACAAACCAGGGCTCGCTTGTCAAGGAGGTGCTGAAGAATTTCACCGTCGAGAAGTTCAATGGTGAGGGCTATGATGATTGGGCCTGGAAAATGCAATTATATTTCCGTCAGATCGGTTTGCTGAAACTAATGATTGGGGAGGAGCCTAGACCGAGTGACCCCACGCTGCAGGAAGATTGGGACGAGCGCTCCTCGGCTGGCTACTATTTGATGTCGCAGAGTTTGGAGCTGAACCAGCGTCACCACGTCATGCACCTGCTGCCGGAGGTTGAATGCGGTCCGAAGGCGTGGACCGTGTTGAAGGAGCTGCACGCCCCGACCTCCGTTGTCGCAACGTTGATGCTGGAGAGGGAGCTGTCTGCGTTGCGCCTGAGCGAGGGAGAGCCGGTGCAACCAGTCCTGGACAAGATGCGCGACCTCTACGCGAAGTTGGCGACCACGGGAATCACCTACCCGGAGCAGACCAAGTGCTTGAAGATGCTCTCGCTGCTGCCAGAATCGTGGCTTCAATTTACGAGCGGATTGAGCCTGCCGCAGAACCAGAGCTTGTGGACGCTCGAGTGGGTGCGGACGAAGATTCTGGAGGAGGACTTCCGTCGCCGCCAACTGAGGGGTGGAGACGACGGCAGCAGCGGCTACGGGATGCAAGGGAGCCGACGTGGCAGAGGACGTGGCTTCGGTGGTGCTGGACGCGGTGCAAAGAAAGACGACGACTCCAACGACCAACAAGGAGGTACCGGTTGGGGTCGCGGTGCGAAATCTGGACGTGGGGGCAAGTCGGGTGCTGGTGGCAAAATGAAAGGGAGTTGCTGGTATTGTGAGAAGGAAGGGCACCCCTGGTTTTTGTGCTATAAGAAACCCGATGGATGGACCCCCCAGAATCGTCACCAGGATGGCGGCGCGCGGAGGAACCAGAAAAACGGCGCCAACATGGTCGCTGATTCGTCCGACAACAACCCGAAGGGCAACGGCGGTGCGGAGAAGAAGAAGGAGCGCACCGCGGGCCAATTCTTCCATGTGGGAGACAAGGGGGAGCAAGGAGACGCCTCTGCCAAAGTTGGAGCAGAGCTGCACCCCCTAGACTATTGGGTGTTGGACACAGGCGCTGCTTGGACGATGACGCCGCGCAAGGACCTGCTGGACGAAGTACGAGCTGCACCGATCAATGAAGTGTGCTCCGCCTCTGGACACATGTTGAAGGTGGCTGGTGCGGGACGAGCTGCGTTTAAGGGAGCGGATGGCAAGCCGGTGGTGCTGCACGACGTTCTCTTCGTCCCCGACCTGAAGGCCAACCTTATCTCCCTCCGTAAGCTTGGCAAGGCTGGGGTGAACACCAACACGGATGGGGCACGCACTTATAAGGGGAAGCTGGGCAATCGGGTGCTTTGGGATCTGCACGAGAGCAAGGACGTGTACAGATCTATGTGGCAGCTGCCGGCCCTGGCGTGGCATGGTGGGGGGCAGGCTGGAGAGGGGTCTGCATCCCAGGGGGAGTGCAATGCCGTTGGAGGGGTTGGTGTGAAAGTGTCGGCCAGATCTGGGGAGACAGATTGGGCAACGGCACACCGGCGCTTAGGGCATGTGGCAATGCCTTTGCTGAAGCAGCTGGAGAAGGATGGAGCCGTTAAGGGTCTGAAGCTGAACGGACAGCCACCCGATGACAACTGTGAAATCTGTTTGCTTTCAAAGTTCACCCGTTTCCCTTTCCATAGTGTGGCTGGCAGGAGCAAGAAGCCTTTGGAGCTGGTCCACATGGACTTGGTGGGGCCGCTGCCGGTGCAAGGGCACAAGGGGGAGCGGTATTTTCTTACAATTGTGGATGACTGGAGCAGGCTGATGTGGGCGTATCCGCTGAAGCAGAAGGACCACGCCGCCTCCACGATACGGGACGATTGGCTGCCATTCGTGGAGAAGCAGGCGGAGTGTGTAGTGAAGCGGATTAGGACAGACCGGGGTGGTGAGTTCCTTGGAGCTGACTCAAGAAGCAGGGCATCCAGAGAGAGCTGACCACGGCTTATACCCCACAGTCAAATGGTGTAGCAGAACGGGCAAACCGGACCATTCTGGAGACAGCTAGGGCGCTGCTCATAGAATCTGGGCTGAGCAATTCTATATGGCCTCATGCTGTCCGGCACGCCACCGTCGCTAGGAACAGGGTGCTCACCAAGGTTGGGGATGACTCGTGGGTGCCGTTGGAGAGGTGGCTTGGGAGGAAGCCGCCGGTGGACATGCTGAGGGTGTTCGGTTGCATGGCAGTCGCCCACGTCCCCAAGACCTACCGCAGTAAGTTGGGGGCGAGTGCAATCTGGTGTGTGCATTTGGGGCTGGCTGCTGAGAGCAAGGGATGGCTGCTGTGGGAACCATCCAAGGGTGTGTTGTTTGACAGCAGGGATGTGAAATTCATTGAGGGCATGATGTATGGGAGCTGGGAGAAACAGCCGGAGGCAAGGGTGTCCCAGCAGATGGAGCAGATCACCATGCAGCTGGACCTGACTCCTAGTGTGTGGGAGGAGGGAGAGGAGGCAGCTGCTGGAAATGGTGATGGAGAGAAGGTACAGGAGGCATCTGCTGGTGGAGAAAATGGTGTGGAAACTGGCGGCAGCACTAGTGGAGCTGCTGGACCCGAGGGAGGAGAGAAGCAGCAGGGAAAAACTAAGAAGCCGAAGGGTGTCGTTATGAAGGGATGGGAGACACCCGTCTCCAGGCCAGGACGTACCCGTATGGCTACTAAGAAGCTGACTGCAGGAACTGATGCAGCAGAGCAGCAGCTAGGGACCGAAGAGGCATTGCTGATTCTACCTCATGGCTATGACCCGGATGAGGAGGATGAGCCTGCGTACTGTTTTCTTGCCCCTGCACCAGAGGAACCAGCTAGCATGGAGGAGGCATTAGCTGGACCAGATAGGGACAAGTGGCTGGCTTCTAGGGATGCTGAGTACCAGAGTCTGCTGGAGAATAGGACATGGGATCTGGTGGTGCTGCCTGATGGGAAGAAAGCGATACAATGCAAGTGGGTGCTGAGGATCAAGACCGATGACAAGGGGCAGGTCACCATCTACAAGAGTAGGCTGGTGGCGAAGGGGTTTATGCAGAAGGAGAAGCAGGACTTCAACGAGATCTTTGCTCCCACTGCCAAACCCCCTACCCTCCGTGTCTTGTTGGCAGATGCAGCTGTTAGTGGGAAATTCATCATTCAGATGGATATTTCAACGGCATTCCTGAATGGGATTTTAGAGGAGGATGTGTACATGACGCAGCCGCCTGGGTATGAGGATGGTACGGGCAGGGTGTGCAAGCTCAACAAGTCCATCTACGGCTTGAAGCAGGCGCCACGCTGCTGGTACCAGAAGTTGGCAGCTGTTTTAGAGGAGATGGGATTCAGGACCAGCAGCTGTGATGAGAGCCTCTTTCTCAAGGGCGAGGG